CAAACAAAGAGGAAAGAAGAGGAACAAAAGGTGTGTTCCTATCGATTATTTATGCTTCTACTGCTTGAGTTGCTTGTTTTACCATTATTTATGAACATCCATCTACTTGTCTTTGGTGACTTTGATGTTTTGCCCAGCTGCCATCATCTCTAGCAGAGGGAGAGGAAGAAGGATCCACTGGTGATCAAACAAATAGAAAAGAAGAGCAGGTGTGTTCATCGATTGTTTATGCTTCTATACAGCTCTTGAATAGCTTGTTTTTACTAGTATTTATGAACATCCATCTACCTGTCTTTGGTAACTTTGATGTGTTTTGCCCAGGTATCATCTGTTGTAGATGGAGAGGAAGAAGGATCGACTGGGGATCAAACAAATAGAAAAGAAGAGGAACAGAAGGCATGTTCATCAATTGTTTATGCTTCTGCAACTTTTTGGGTAGCTTGCTTTTAACAGTTTTTATGAAATTGTCTTTGGTAACTTTAATGTTTTGCCGGTATCATCATCTGTTGCAAGGGGACAAGAAGAAAGATCGACTGGTGATCAAAGAGAGAGAAAAGAAGAGAACAAAAGGTGTGTTCCATCGATTGTTTTATGCTTCTGTAGCTGGGTAGCTTGTTTTTACCAGTATTTATGAAATTATCTTTGGTAACTTTAATGTTTTTGCCAGCTAGAGGAAGAAGAATCGTGGTAAAGGGCAGGCGGTGTGATGGGATCAGGATCCTGATAAGAAAGACAGGCAGAATGAAGGGATCAATCAAGTGATGAGTGATGGGGACCTATGAGATATGTTCTTCACATATCATTGGAGCTTTTGTGCTTGCTACTTGTATTCTCTCCTGAGAATTGAACCAAGGACCAAGCTTTCACACTTAACTTTGTTGGAAGATGTTAAGCTGCCCCCAAAAATGTTTTTATGCTTAACTCTGTGGGGAAGATGTTACACTGTCCTAAAAATATTTTTATGTTTTTTGCAAGCTGCCGGTGAGCGCTAACATTGTTTGGGAACAAGCATGCACACGTGATGGCATGCCATGCATTTGTGCAAGTCCCTGAAATACATTCATGATGCAAGTGGTCAGCCATTGTAGCACTTGATTTTTTTTTCTCCTGCACACATGCTTGAGATGGCGCGCACCGTCGTCCCGGCGCTATGCCACCATTGTTGTTGTTGTTACAACTTACAAGCGCTGTTCTGTTCTTGTGCGTTGACATGCTGATACTGATAGACGCAAACGCCTCACTGGAATTGCTCCACGGTGAGAGCTCCTGCGTCTTCCTGGACACAGTCGCACGTGTCCTTGCAGGACGTGCAAGGACATCGCCTACCCATTCGCCTCCATTTCTTTGATGGCGCAGTTCCTTTAGACCTGCATCGTACCCTCAATTCATGAATCCTAATGTATATAATTATTATTGATATATTGTCTCATCTTAGGCACAAGAACTGAACACATTAGGTTTGATTCCTAATTCTTTATTATTTTATTTACAACTAACTCTTTAGTACTTGTATATGAAGAAGGGTCTACTTGATTTCTACTGGACCATTATTTTCTTCTTACACTCATTGCTAAAAAGTGATTACCATATTATGATCTGCCAAGGGAGACATGCAGATGTTTCTTCTGACCAAATTTTAGGTGTCTGCTATGTTAACTGCTAGAGCATCCTTTCACTAGGGAAATAGCACATTTATATTCTCTATTCAGTTGCTTGCTCAGAACCATGGTTAGCTTCTGTATTTTAGTCTGCCCTGCCTTGTGCTATCGTTGAGCCTATTTCTATGTGTGTGTTTTTGGTGATATATGCATGTTTCATTCTTTCGTGTATCCTATGTTATTTGTTCTTGGTTATGTTGGTTTCTTCATGATATTTCTACATTAGTTCTTTAGGTTTACGTCAATCTTTATTTGCTTTGTGTTTGGCACATGCTCTATTCAGATATACTATTCCAGAATATATTCCACGCATACGTACCTACCTACCTCTGATCTGGTTGTTAACCTCACAATGCAGATACTGATGGACTATTCATAGGCTGCTCTCAGCTTCAAGGGCAAACCACGAGCATATTTCTCTAGAGTCGCTGTCCCGTGCACAACTCCGGTGCGCACCGGACAACTTCGGCCCTAATATTGTTCTCGGTCACCCATTTTTCAATCACTGCACCGAAGCTTCAGTGTGACCCCTCTGGTGCACACCGAAAGGCATGGCGACCTGCCTGCTTTTGGTCTGAAAACTTGCACCGTTGAAGAACTCTGATGCACACTCCGATGCAACACCATAGAGCTCTGGTGCACATACGGCTCCAACTCGTCCATGGCCTTAGGGCTTTATTTGTGATACCTAGCAGTCTAGCACTAGCTTCACAAATGTGTTCATGTCCACTCACTAGACTCACCTAGGTCAAACAACATATTTGTACCACCTTTATAGTACGACCAAAGGAAAAAAAATCAAATATCCTATTTACTACTTAAGTGTCCCTCAACGCTTTTGACACTTAAGACTAGTCGATTCTTAATCTTCGCGCTTTGAAAACTGAGACAACAATCAATAGAAGAGGCATGAATGAAAACCATAATTCATCGACATTGATCATCATTGTGACCTCACTTAAGTAATGTCGCTGCAAAACACATGTTAGTCATAATGATTATGTCATCATAATCAACAAAACCGAATTAGGGACCTAGATGCATTCACCCTCTTCCTTCCTCTTTTGTTTGGCTATGCGACGGCCATCGCTTGGCTTGGCGGTGTTCGGGGCGTCACCCTGGTATGGTGGCATCTGCTGCCCGTGCCCGTGCGGTGTGTGGTATGGTGCACTACGAGGCCGCGTCCGGCCTCTACCCACAGAGGTGCCCTAGCCATGGATGTCGAGAATCCTATAGTGGTCATGAATCCATGAAGAAACAAGATTGAGAAAAATTGGTGCCTCTTATGTTTTCTTTGAGGGATTAAGAGGAGGTTTTGAGGGATTGAGAAAAATTATAAGAAAAGGAGATTGAGAAAGGGTGCTAGAGCTTGTTCTTTTCTACCAAATCCCCTTCATTACTGGTTATAGGAAAAATGATTAATCTTTCTTAATCTGATGGAGGTGCGAACCTCTTCCTATTCTCTCTTGTCGGTCTTCGAAACTTAGGGCATCTCCTTACAATGTGCTGCCCCACTCTTTCTTGCCGGTCTTTGAAACTTAGGTAGTGATTGATCTCAGGGATTGAATGGTTCCAGGTGGGATATCCCACTTTGCCTTGATGTTTGGTTTAAAATCAATTCGAGATAGAACAACTCCACCAGGAATCCTCTAGAACCGAGCTGACCTCGCCCCTAAAAATCTGGCGGACCGAGTCATCCCAAGTGGGACGAGTGTGTGTGGGTCTTAACTCTTAAGGAAGAAGAGGCCACAGGTGAGCGTTGTTAAGTGTGAATGTAAATGAAAAAAGTGATTGGAAGAACTGTCAATTTCATTGTACTCTTGGATATATATACATGTGAAAGGGTGTGGTGAATAGACACAACCGTTCACCAAACTGACATCCAAAGGACAATGTCCCTTTGGTGACATGGTTGACTGTCCAATACTATTACTAACTTTATGAACGGATGAGATCACCACCATGAAGATGCCTATTAGTCTGCAGGTGTCGTTTCACAACAAGTGCCAAACGCCAGCGTGAATGCCGGACGACGACAACGCGCGAGGCTACGGGCAGTCGATGGCACGTGGGGTCAAAGGGGGGATGGCGGCGAGCCTACAGGGCAGTCAGGGTTGCGAGCGAGCGAGAAACGACGGTGCGGGCGGCGAGGCAACAAGACGTCAAGATTGCGAGCTGTCAGGAGAAAAGGTAGTAGAGAAAAAATTAAAAAAATGCTAGTAGGCCCTATATTTTAACAATCATCCCAAAAATGCTGATTCGGCGTAGGCCCTAATTATGCTCAAAATGTTATTTTATATAGTTTTTGATTTTATCATCCTTAATGCGTATGCAAGTTTAATGTGATGATGAACTTTTTACATAAGATCATTGTCCTTTCCATCGTCCCAACCAAACACAATACAAAGGATGACCCGTTTTCCTCGACTACACACGAAATGAAACCATCTCCATCTCATCCTTCAAATCTAGGCGTCCGGAGTCAAGCACGCCCCTAGGTCTTCCTCGAACTTTGCTCTTCCCATTCTAGAGTGCGCGTCATTTTTTAGGTTTGCAGGCTGCCGACGCTCTAGCAAGCCTGGAACGTATTTTGGAGTCTGCGTTGCCATTGCTAAGAGTGCCTTGCGTTTCTGCTCGGGTTGGGATCGCAAGGGCTGAGGGCTCAATATTTGGTTCATGTACGCGTGGACCCTAGCCTGCACGGTGCATCTGTTTGGTTACCAAATCCTATAGCCACGCCTAGGGTAAACTAGCTATTTTGCCATGTGCTCCCACCGGCATCTCACGAGCCATGCTCGGCAGAGACGAGCAAAATTTCTGTGTCACGCAGACTGTGGGGTGACTTTTGCAGCGCCCGGGCCAGGCCCACTTGATACTCCAGCCAACCAAACAAGCTTCGGTTGCATCTCCAGAGCCTGGTTTGGCTGGACAGTGTCATCCAATCATGACCATGATGATGTTTCTAATGCTGTTAGCAGTAGCACCAAACTGTTCAGGTTCCACGCAATTGTCACCCAGGGTAGTGTCTTACAGGTTGCGAGGCCATAGTAGCACAGGTTTTTGCCACATAAATATCATCTAACTGGAAATGTCCGCCAAAAAAATGCAGCCTGTCAGATACTGGAGGGGCACACGCACGCGGAAGAAACACTTGACACCAAGTCACCTGCACAAGGACACCATACAAAATTAAACAGCTGAAAATAAAGCGCTTAGAGCCCTATCAAACAACTCGCTAATCTTTAATAAACATGAATAATCTTACTAATTCTTTCTTTTCATTTGTTTATATGGGGCATGTTCAGAAAACTTGGAGCAGGGAGCCAAAACTAGTGGTGTACCTCATGCATACTTCAGCATCTTCAAGAGCCTGAATGCACTAATAGCAGCAGTGCTAAGAGCCCTTTTGGGTTGATGATTGCTTGCAAGTGGTGAGATTCTTCCCACCAGACCATTGGCCAATGACTTACTCCGAGGGACAGATAAATGTTCAAGGTCAAGCCTAGACCTAGCATCTGCTTTTGCATAGGCTGGATACACCTTCATAGGAAACCGGGCTACTAACACTGATCTCCAATATGGGAAAAAACTTGTGTGTGTATATTTGGGATCCCATCCTCTGCCTACTTCCTTTGTCACAGTCACAGCCTGTCACATATTTCAATATATATAAAAGGTACAGCTTCAGAAAACCAGAAACAGCAGAAAACCAGAAACGGCATATTAGCCAGCACGTCACGCTTGAGATGTATGTCAAAGCACAATATCTGTTCCTTTAGATATGCAGTCCTTAAGTAGCATGCTTAAGCAACATGATAAGCTATTAAACCAGCACAAAGCACGGCAAAAGCATAGGAAGTGAAACATGATATTGTTGTTGCCTCTAATGATTACATTACACTGCTGCTGCTTATCAGATCTCACAAAGCGCCGAAAATTTTTCAGATGCAACAAATTATTCAAGAACTAGTATGAGGGCGCGCGCCATTCGCGCGTCCGTGCAACGATACATGATTCTAAATATGGAGATTTTGCTATGTAAAGATTGCTCCCTCGGTCGGTTGTTGGTCTATGCTGATTATCAGAACTCCATATTCGTGTGGTCTTCCTGTAACTGACCTGTTTTCAGGTGGTAATTCAGGTGAGGTGTCTGAGCCAAAGTGAGCAAGATTCAGTAAAACGTTTCAGAATATTAGTGTTTTATTTACCAACCATGAAAGCTCTGCGCTGAAGCTGAAACCCCATTCTCCTGGCTTTGCCCTTTGCTGTCGATGTGGAAGATGGGTTGGAGGTCCTCTCAGTAGCTTCTTTGCTGAAAAATAAGTTCATCAGAGCTTAGTTCAAGGTAATTACCAGACTGCAATTAAAAGAGAGAATATGAGTGCTGTAATCCTGAATGTAGCCTAGGGTGCATATTTGCAAGGTAGGAAATATTACATGGTGCATACAAATATATGATCACAGGCAGGAGTTCACATGGCTAGGAAGCAGCAGTATCAAATCATAGTGTAGGCAGACAATAATTTGGGGGAAGAAGAAAACCAAAGCAACAATCAAGGAGAAGATAACACATCAGGACTTAGAGGCACCTCTGATGAAATCAAAGGCTACAATGACTTGAGTAGGGCCCTTACCAGCACCGCAGGCTAGGGGCGTTGCTAGGAGTGAAAATGGCTTTAGCGCTGTGCGGGTTCAAGATTGCATCAAGATTGTATGGAAGGAGGGCATCTTCATCTGTAGAACCTTGTAGAGTTGTAAATTCAGACTCTACACCTGCTTGTATTTGAAATCTCTGAATCAACATCACTGTGTTTGCCCTGCACAGGCTGCTCCTCAGGATCTGAGTCACTATGTGCCTGCCTTGGAACATCATCCACTACGTGATCTGTAAAAGGGAACACATTAAAGACCAATCATTATACTGCTTGACTTTTCATTTGGGACTTCAACAAGAAAACACACGCGTCCGTATTGGTGGCTAACCGCGACCTGATTTAGTCCAGCATCCTCGATGAGGAACCACAAATTTGTATATGACTTCCATCCAAGCTGGACTATGATTATGAGTACAGTTCACCACATCGATCACTGTGTTAGGCACGCCACACACCGATGGCAAGACCAGATGAAAGATACGATGCGATAGTGACCGCAGAATCGGTAGCAAATTAAAATGTCCTGCACCAAGTAAAGAAATCATGAGACACAGAGGATGATTTTTTTAGCGCAAGACAGAGAACCAATGATGATGATTTTGTACTCAGTAAAACATTAGTACTAACTTGCCCATCAGATGCCATACAAACTCTGAATAGTATTGATGATGGCTTTGTACTCAGCAAGCATATATATAAGGCATAGGACAAAATAATGTACCGAATCAGACTTATCGTGACCGCAGGATCCATTGGAGACCAAAAAATCCATAATCAATACCAAACCGGCCTTGCAGACATATGCCAGGAATTATATCCAGCTTCACTGGTTTGAAAAGAGTCACAATTTTGCTGCAACAGATGAGAAAAAAGGAAATTTATCACACTTTTGACATTGGTCAGACTAATGATGCCTATCTCAGCTTGCTATGAACACAAAAAGGTTGATGCTTCTGATTTTGTTCAGATCCGAAACCTGTATACCCTCTTTGCAATTTTTTCAAGAACCAGCATGCTGTAAACATATGTATATTTCCCTACAGCTATATGGTTGTCTAAGAGGCAAGAATCAATTAGTAAAAAACTAAAGGTCAGACAAATCAACAAGGAAACTATGTAGTCCAAAGTAATGCCATGGAGACACCAATTTCTATACAACATATGGAAGTGCACCACGTGTGCTACTCAAAAGGTGAACAATATTTTTTATAAGTGACCAAACACATCCTATGAAATCAAGCAGACCTCTCTCCTTTCTCCATGGACCAATTTCTATATCGACATATGGCAATGCAGTACGGTTGCCAATCAGAAGGCACACAGTAATTTTAGAACGTGACCAAACACATCTTGTGAAATCAACCAAACCTCTCTCCTTTCTTCTGCAGGTCAGGAAATTGAGCAAAAAGGACTGCAGGAGTGGTTACCTGGCTTCATTAAACAGAAATAATCTTTTTCATCTCCCTATGACATGCATGTAGAAATAGTAGGACCACAACCTAAATCCTTGTTTTTTATTGTATGCTATAGATCGATTACAATGATTTCAGATAGGTTAATTTTGGAAGGCATACATATCTCTGAGGTTCCATATAAACAGCTAGAGAATCCACTACATGGCCCTGCACGTCAATTTCAAATAATCAAAATCTATTACAATGATCTCAGATAGGTTAATTTTGAGAGGTATACATATCTTAAATCATTGTAGTAGTGAAAAAAGCACCAAATGAATAGGTAGCATCAAAATATGGTTATTTCAGCACTCATTGATTAGTGACACTCTACAAAGTTAATGAAAACAAAAGCACGCTAACCACCTATAGTTAAAAATTGCATATTGATACTTACCAACTGAACAGATTTCTCCATTTCTTAGTTAACTCCAAACACTTCCTAAAAATACTATTGTACATATGAAACTGATTGGAGATGCCAAGAGCCAAAGCCAAAACTTAAACATGTTTGACTGAAGTGAAGTGTAGGCATTATCTTTTCCTAGCTAATGAGATCAAAAGCTGGAAAGTGAAAAATGGCAGCCATGATACACATAAAAAATGCTTTATCTATGTCTGACTGAGGTATACTACTAAAGCACAGACCAAAAATTGAGCCTCATTAATTGACAATACCATTTCATTGCAGGTAGCTGGGAAAAATAAGATCATCAAGGTCAACTTAAATCATTTTGGCAGACCTAGCTGGTGCTGGAATTAAAGAATTCAAAATTATTTTTGGACCATGAGAACAATAACGGATAACAATGTTGCTCGTCATTACATAAGCAGTATAGCAGTCAAGTAATTGATATTGAAATTATATGTGTACTATGATTTAAAACATATCAAATCATACAGGAAAGTGCCAACAATTAATGACCATAAGTTGTGAAGTGTAATTACGTGACACACATACCAATTTGGTTTACTTATGTCCTAATGAGGTATGCAACTGAAGCATAGAGCCAAATCTGAAGCTTCATTAGTTCAGCAATCAGCACATATTTTGCTCTAGGCAGGTAAAAAAATTAAGGTCATCATCATCAACTTGAATCATTTTGTGAGACCTAGTTGGTGCTGGACTGAAACAATTAAATATTATTGTTTGAGCATGAGCTAACCTGTCCTTGTGCCGTGGTCAATGACAACGATGGATCGCCTCACCAGCAGTACTATCTAGATAAACTATAGCAGAACATCAAAGCTGCAATAACCAAGAATTTAAGAGGGCAAAAGAAAAAAATCAGAATCAACAGGCACATTTACTTGTAGCATCACTAAGTGTGAAGAGGACAACTGAGAAGTTATACCCTCATGACGCCTTTTAGTTTCAGTTATTTTGGTGCTCCCTGTGCAGCAAACACACTATGTCAAGCACATAAGCAAATAACATAGTGTGAAATTTAATTGCTCCTTAGATATTTTGGACCTCTAGCTATCACTATAAAAATGGAAACACTATAGACAAAGAGAACAGAATATCCGACATGTACATTTGAAAGACATAGTGTGAAAGTTAATTGCTCCTGATATTTTGGACCTCTAGCTACCACTATAAAAATGAACACTATATATAAGGGTCTACATGAATCAAGAGGCACCAAGAACAAAGATGAAGCTGGTAGAGTGCTTCGTTGGTCCACGACCACACTGCTCTGGGCACAAACCCATCTTCCACCATCACACACACATCACACAACTGTACATCTATGACTGTAGTATCCTTGTGAGGAAGAAACAAATAGTTTTATAACCTACCCTCCTCAAAATTTCATATTTGTATTGTTCAAGTTACCACACCAGCACCTAGCGCAATAACGTCGAAGCTTACTGACTCAACCGGACTTGTAAAGGTTGGTAGGCTCTGCAATGTTACCCAAAAAATCAACCGAAGTAGATAACTGATTGCCCAAAAAAGACATAAATAAATGAAATTACATGTATAGCAGTAGTATATTGTATATGATTTGCTAGAAGAGCACTATCCTTTTACCTAGAGCCCAAAAATTGGTTCTCAAATCGCCCTTCAGATCATCATCCTCAATTAAAATAAAGGGAACTGTAAATAAATTTGAGCATGTATAAAAATGAGAGACTCTGTCAGAAATAAATAATGAGTCATGTGGACATAAACATGAATCGGTCATCAATTCCTGAATCCACCATAACCTGCATAGTCATAGCAGTCTCATAAATATGTCGAATAGAGATTCAACGTCGAGCTAGTAAACAATACAGTAAATATGAAATCTTTGGCATAGATCGGAGCGCCGACGAAATAATAGAACAAATATAATTCGTAGGCATCATCTACTGCGTCAACCTGATAGAAGAGAAAACTAAGATGGAACAACATATGCAGATGGAGGAAGAACGAACCTGAGGGGGTGGCACCTAGGGTTAGTGTTCCATGAGCACGAGAGAAAACTACCAGACGAATGAGGCCACATGGTGGGCAGCCGCGCCGGCGACATCCAGTAGGGCCCGCTCCAGTGCGCCGTGGCCAGTAACGGCGGACAGGGTGGCCATCCGTTCATCGCCGCATCCCTGCGGCGCGAGGAGGGAGGGCCGTGGAGGAGGGGGCGTCGAGGAGGAGGGGGCGGCTGCAGCATCCGCTGGGCCGCTCGTCCCGGCGCCATCGCCCCAGCCGCCGCCGCTCACGTCGGGAGGGAAGGGAGTCACGAGAGAAAAAGAGAGGGGAAGAGAAAGTTGAGCCTTTTCCCCCCTTTTTCCCGTGTACCATTAAAAAAGATGGTATTTTTCTAGAAATCACTAAAAAGTTCAGACTTACATAGGTGCCATGACACTTTATTTCTTTGCCCCCTAAGCCATTCCGTCCATTTTCGCTGGTAATGGTGTGTAACGGTGAGGAGAAAAGACTGAAGTGTCCTCAGTCTAGGGAGGATGAGTGAAATTGCCGTTTGCCATGTGTGCCACTCCCTGACCAAGCGTTTGAGCGCCAACACGGCTGACGTGGGCAAGTTTTTTGGCGCCAAAGGCACTAGGCTTGGCGCCAAAGAGACCCCGCTTGGTGCTATAAATAGGCCCTCAGCCCTCCCTTCCCACTCATTCTATAAATAGCAAGCAAACATCAATTAAACCACACACTATTCTGGTGGGCAGGTCAGATACATCTGCTCGTATCTCTCTCTAAAAAAAATAAATTTTCAGAGTTTCTTAAGTCAAACTCTTTATGTTTCACCGAATTTATAAATAATATAAATATAAATATTTGTGACACCATGTTATAAAAATATAGTTTGGTGTCATAAATCTTGACTCTTTTCTATAAAATTCAATCAAATTTTTAAAAAAGTTTGACTTATAATAGCTCTGGACATTAGTATATTCAGGTACGGAGGGAGTAACTAAAATATAATTTAGCAGGCAGTTCATTTGAAAATACACATTATATAAACGCCCCATCGATTCACTGAAGTACTAACATTCTGAATTCACATGGTTCATTCAAAGTTGTCATCTGTGATGTTGCAACTCCACAATGTAACGTGAATAATACAAGCTAATTAAACACCTAAACGAACAGCTCACATTATCAGGGCTTAACTAGTCTCCCCTGGAACCCCTATCCTCAGCATCATGATCTACTTAGGGTTAACAATCAATAACGAATAAAACGAATGTCCATCTCACCTTACAAGTTACAACAGCATGGCTGGATCCACCGAAGATCGAGACAGTTCAACAGCCATCAATTTCTCCTCATCTCAAGGGGACGACACACTTGGTACCAGACTACCTGTCCAGCAGCAAATGCATACGTTTTCTTACACAAGCACCCATGACACGGACAGCGCAAGTTCAAGGGCACCTTGCTGGTGCTGCACCATGAACGACTGAAGGGTAGAGAACCAAAAGCTTCTCTACTGGCTTGGTTTCGCGCGTTTCATGCCACCGTTACTGAACGGGGAGACGCTTCCAGGATGAGGGCTATCTTCTCTCAGAGTTGAGTTTAGCATAGCCAATTCCCTCAGCTGTTGTCTCTTGTAGAAATCTTGTGACTCTTCCTACATCGAAGGAACGCAAAAATTGAGTTCTGAGCTAGGCGTGCTCTGAAACTTAAGACACTCATAATTCAACATAATTTCTAAGAAGTTAGAGAAGAAAATATAACGAAAAATACAATCTATGCATACAATGACTGAGAAGTGACTGCGAAGTGAGAAACACTTTACAGAAACATTGAGTGAAGAAATTGCTCTCAGCCACAACAGGCCAAAGCTAATGGTATTCAGAGTTCAGTATAGCATTTCTTCTCTGCCCACTACTTGCAAGTAAACGACAACACATATATCTTCTCTACAGAACCAATTAATACTGCCATAAATCACTGACAAAGAAGGAACAGCACCAAGCGGGGTCTCTTTGGCGCCAAGCCCGGTGCCTTTGGCGCCAAAAAACTTGCCCACGTCAGCCGTCTTGGCGCTCAAACGCTTGGTCAGGGAGTGGCACACAGGGCAAACGGCAATTTCACTCATCCTCCCTAGACTGATGGCACTTCGGTCTTTTCTCCTCGCCGTTACACACCATTACCAGCGAAAATGGACGGAATGGCTTGGGAGGCAAAGAAATAAAGTGTCATGGCACCTAGGTAAGTCCGAACTTTTTAGTGGCCTGTAGGAAAAGGCTATATTTTTTAATGGTACACAGGGAAAAGGCTCGAGAAAGTTCCCGATGCGGTAAGAGGGAACCACCGATTGTGGAGAAGCCGAGGTAGATATTTGGGAAGGAAAATGAGAAGCTGAAGCTAGATTATACGAAGAGCTGTGTTTTATAGGGGAGGAGGAGGAGCAGAAGGTACTAAAACGCACGAGAAGCTGATTCTATTGGAAGCAGATCTAGCAAATCATGGCCGTGTATCGCGAGATCTAACGGACGAGGAAATTTCGGGTGACGTGGACGGTGATTCCGCTCGAGGAGCAGGTAAATACTAAGGCCTTGGAAATAACAATAATGTGTAAGCCCCTTATTCGAGTCTCAATGTTGCTATTCTCCCAGTTCAGCTACGTTATCGAGTTAATTATGCCCAACAGGGTTTTGGGCTTTTCTCCGAGAGCTAGTTTAGTTTCATTATTTGTATCATTTACTTTACTTTTTTTTATTGCAGTTACCCTTTTCCTTGGTAAATAACCTGATGGGAAACACGCTAGTCTCCATGATATTAGCATGGCAGAGATCAATCATAGTTGGAATGCTGTGGCATTGCATTAGGCCATCTGTATTTGGAGGAACTTAAAAAAAATGGATTTCTCACCTTGGGAAATTTTCAATTCATTAGATCATTTTACAAACTTGATGTAAAATTAAAAATTCAAACAGGGAAAGAGCAGAATTCTTATAGCTTTTGTTCTTCTGCTCCCACAATATTAGCGAACATGAAACAAGAACAAGCACTTTTATCGCAAGATCATGCATCCACCAAAAAGGAACAGAAAAATAGATGTTATCTTAGCACAATATAACTAAAGCGACATTTTATCTCTAACTTCAACAATTACTTTCAGATTTGTACACAGGGCATTAAGTTCTAGGACAATACCCAAACATAAAATAGTTTGCATTTGCCCCATACAAAGGATATAAACATGTAAAAGTACAAAACAGAAAACTATGTAAAGATAATTAGAGGACTAGAGACAGGAAGTTGAGAACAGCCTTGCCTTTCTAACGAAGAGATATTGATGTGCTTTATAAGCACCAGCCCATAACAATGGACAACTAGCAAGCAAATACAGGTATATAACTAGATAACAAACTAATCATGCAAGTGACTTATCGGACTAATGCCCCCCTGTATCAGTACCATACAATACTATTTGTGTGAGCAACACCTTATGCACTTAGATATCAGAATAAGACACTTGGCAGAACAAGAAGCGAAGATGCTCCAATACAGTAATATATTTGATTACCTTTGCCTTTTCCTTTTCCTTTGCAGCATGCAGATTATCCGATTCCATAACTGCCCTGTTTGGATCTATAAGCCCTATTCTCCGTGAAAAAAAAAAGAAAGCAGAGGTTAGGGCTCATTTTTCTTAAATGTAAAAAAGAATTACTTGAGGTTGACACACCTTTGCTACATGACTTTCTGTCTGACATTTTGCAGTCATAAGGATGGCTTCAAGAAATAAATAAAAGAATCAGCAAAACAAACATGTTTTCGCATAGAAATTTTTTATGTGAAGCAAGACAGAGACTAGTACAGGTTTATAGTGTCCATGTCTTCTCCAGTAGGGTAAAACCCATGTTCTTTGAGAATAGATGAAACATGTTCCAAGACCTCCACATGGGGCACCTGCATGGTGCACGTGCACAAGTTGTTGTATAAGGTAGAACAAAAATAAACAGAAAAGACAATATATCACCAACATAGGTCTCCTGTATATACAATTAACAATCATATAACCAATGGTAACAGAGAGATGAAGGAAATAATTGTTTCAACTAGAAATTTGCAATTATACAATATGACAGAACAGTGTACAGAAAAAGCTAAACGTACAATCTAGATTGATTATCTAGGCTATCTTGAAGTAAAATCTCTTAGCATCCACAAGTTTTGTATCGAGAGATTATAATCAAGACACTTCAAAGCTACAAGTCATGAATGGCTTCACACTACTGAATTTTAAACTAAACTTTACAGTGGCTTCGCAATGAACAAGCATTAAAATCACATTAATTGTTCTGTTTTGGTTTCTCGAAGAGAAACCTGTCAATTTCTTCAGGCTATGTGATATAAAATGAAGTTCAGAGAAAATGTTGGCATGAATTGCATAAGACTTCTGTTTATTGAACTCAATCGAGCTGTCCTGGCCCACAGACAAATTAAGGTATGAGCTCCATGTAAATATTGCAGGCTAAGGGTGCAGCTGGATACCTGAAATGGATTCGTTTCTTGTGAGAATCGTACCAAACGAGATTTCCAGACTAGGAACCGGAACGATTCACGTTTTCTACGTTAGCACTTGGACCTGGTTATGCACGATTCTGATTCTCAGCTCACATGATTCTATTTGTCTAGGTCTTAGTTGGGTTTCGGTGATTAATGATAATACGAGATTATTATGACTAACGTTTGTTTTGCAGAGCTAATTAAGTTAGGTCATGGTAATGGCAATTGATTGAACAATCATGATTGTCATGTCCCTACGATGGAAATCATTTCGGTTTTCAAAGGATGGACGACAAGGTTAAGGATGGACTAGTTCTAAGTGTAGTTTGGTGTTGAAGAGACACTTAGAGTAGTTTAGGATTTTATTTTTCCTTTGGCCGTACTATTAAGAGGGCATGGACTAGTAGCTTGACCTAGATGAGTCTAGTGTGTTAGGTGTGGTGCACACTTATCAAATCTAGCACTAGGTAGCTCCGGAGTAACCCTAAGATCAATTGGAGCAAACTTCATTCACATATGATTTTGAGTTGAAAGTGAATGGAAGGTCAAATGACTGATCGGACGTTGGTCTGGTTCTGACCGGACACTGAAGGGTGAGTCAGGTCAGTTCATTTGATCAACTGGAGCCGTCTGAGTTGCGACCGGACGCTGAGTGAAAAGTAACCAGACGCTGGGTGCCTGAGTCCGGTCAACTCCAGAGAGGTTCCAGAGAGGGAAATTCTT